CTCCAGTGCCAGGAAGATAAGTCCCCATAAGTTCTGGCTGCAAAAATGAGCAGGAATTGAGTCGGTGGAAGAAACTTCTGGAATCCCAAGTAATTCCTCTTAAAGAACCCACACACAGACTTACTCAGACTTACTGCCTCTGAGCTCCAGCACCAGGGTGGCGGCTTGAAAGGCATCAGTGGTATAGAGGGAGGAATTGAAGTGTCTGGCATCAAGGCGAAAGCTGGGGGACAGCTTTCTCCCAAACAGAATGCATGCAGAGGTCATTGTCCCTTTTCTGAACCCACCCCCACAGAGCCATAGAGCAGGCAGGGGGGTGCCATATCTGAGATTCCATCAACCTGGCTAACACCATTTAGCCTGCCCTGGAGATTTCCTGAGACTCCTTCCCACCCAACTTAGGGGCCCACCCAAGCTGTTAACAATGACTTTTCCATATGAATGGCTGGTCTTGGCTTATACTTCACAACTTCCTAAATCCTCTCAAATAAGCTACAGTTGGCCTCATTCAACCTCCAGCCCCCATATCTCTTGCTAAGTGGCCCAGCACTAGCCACAGCCAGCCTACATTCACAGCTTGGCTTCACCAGGGAATCTACAAGCCCAGCACAAGTAGCAGCCATCTCAGATTGCTTTATAGCTCAGGAAGGGTGGCTCTGGACAGGACACAGGTCAGGGCTGACCTCAGCCTGTACCACCTGGGAAACCTCAGAGCCTGCATGTTGGGAAACGCCCTGTCTGGTTTCAGGAACTGTAACCCAGCCAACAGACTGGAGGGCCCCAAGGCTGGAAATAATTAGGAGGCCTTGGAGAAACAGGCTCCTGAGGAGACATAACCTGTCCCCCCGGCAGGGTTGTAGCTCCTGCCTCTCTGCTTTGCCATGGATGATCAGTGATCAAAGACAGGTAAGTTATCTTGAGCTGAGGTATACAACTTAAGACAGCTGCCAATCGAATATTGGCAGCATACAAGAAATTGGGGGACACGGAGAAAGGGCAAAAAGACCCGAACCCCTTGGCTAGGCTTGGACATGGCTGGAGTCCTCATTCTATCCGAAAGAAGTCTCCTTGTCTCTTGGCAGCTCCCTCCCCCTTCCCGACTTAGGCTCAAAACAATACCGCAGAATCAGTCCTAAACCAGATCTGGCGGTTCCCAGGGAAATCAGGCCTAAAAGAAAATTCTTTAAAGTGTGCTTTGTTCTTCCTTCAGAAGCCCTAACCAGCTCATGCTGGGAAGGAAATTTACATTATTCACAGACCCTAACCCTACACCCTTAGGCACTGTTATGTGTACTATGCTCTCATGTTTAGTCTCTCTCTTGTTTACTACTCTCCTCTCAGACCCATGTAAATCAGTGTGTTCCTGCCATTTGTTTTCTTCAAAACATCACCCATTCTCTGTGAACATTAACATACGGATGTAATGAGATAACCTGTGCATTTCTGTTAACCTGGCCCCACTGAGAGATAAGCTTTTCAATAAAAGCCTTTGAACAAAGGGATTTGCAACGCAACACCTGTGCACCTAGTGGGCAGCTGCAGGCCACGTTGGAGCACCACCACGCTGTCCCTACACAACTGATCTTCCACACGGGTGGAGTTTTGTGGTCAGTGGTCACAGCCAGTCCTTAAAGCTGGCTGGCCTGGCTAAATCCCTCCCATTGACCTGCCAACTGCAATCAAGGATCAGCTACAAGAGAAGGGTGTACTCAGCCTACCCCAAGTACCAAACTTGGGTCATAGGGGAGGCTATGCCACTGGACCATACAGGACACCCACTACATTAGGCTACCTTACAAAGATAGGGAGTCATAGCAGCTCTACCTAATACATAGAAACAAACAAAGGGAGGCTGCCAGAACAAGGAGATAAACATGGCCCAAGTGAAAGAAGCGATCGAAACTCCAGAAAAAGAACTAAACAAAATGGAGATAAGCAATCTATCAGATGCAGAGTTCAAAACACTGGTTATAGGGATGCTCAAGGAACTTAAGTGAGGATCTCAACTGCATAAACAAGATCCAGTCAGAAATAAAAAGTACAGCCCTCGCTGGTGTGGCTCAGTGGATTGAGCAACAGACTGCTAAACCAAAGGGTTGCTGGTTTGATTCCCAGTCAGGGCACATGCGTGGGTTGCAGACCAGGTCCACAGTTGGGGGCGTGTGAAAGGCAACCACAGATTGATGTTTCTTTTCTTCTCTTTCTCCCTCCATTCCCCTCTCTCTAAAAATAAATGAATAAAATCTTTTAAAGAAAAAGAAATAAAGAGTATATTGATTGAAATAAAGAACAATTTATAGGGAAATGACAGTACAGTGGATGCAGCCCAGAATCAAATTGGTGATTTGGAACATAAGGAATGAAAAAACAACCAATTAGAACAAGAAGAAAAAAGAATCCAAAAAAACAAGGATAGTGTAAGCAGCATCTGGGACAACTTCAAGCATTCCAACATTAGCATCATAGGGGTACCAGAAGGAGAACAGAAAGGGCAAGAAATTGGAAATCTATTTGAAAAAATAATGAAAGAATACTTCCCTAATTTTGTGAGGGAAATAGACATGCAAGTCCAGTACCAAGCCAGATGGATGCAAAGAGGCCCACTCCAAGACACATCATAATTAAAATGCCAAAGGTTAAAGATAAAGAGAAAATCTTAAAAGCAGCAAGAGAAAAGAAGTTAGTACTTACAGGGGAGTTCCCATAAGACTGTCAGCTGATTTCTCAAAAGAAACTTTGTAGGCTAGAAGGGATTGGCAAGAAATATTCAAAGCCATAAAAATCAGGGACCTACTGCTAAGATCGCTCTACCCAGCAAAGACATCATTTAGAATCGAAGGGCAGATAAAGAGCTTCCCAAACAAAGTAAAACTAAAGGAACTCATCATCACCAAATCATTATTATGTGATATGTTAAAGGAACTTATTTAAGAAATAGATTACCAATACTATGAACAATAAAATGACAATAAAAACATATATCTATCAACAAATGAATCTAAAAAACAAGCTAAGCAAACAAGAAGAACAGAGACAGAGTCATGGATATGGAGAGAGCTTTGATGATTGCCAGATGGCAGGGGGGTGTGGGAGAATGGGTGGAGAAGTGAGGGGATTAAGAAGTACAAGTTGATAGTTACAGAATAGCCATGGGGATGTAAAGTAGAGTACAGGAAATGGACTAGTCAAAGGACTTATATGCATGACTTCTGGACATGAACAGTGATGCAGGGATTGCCCGAGGGAGTGGAGGGTGCTCTCTGTAGGGGGGACAAACGGGGGAAAATGGGACAACCATTGTAGCATTTTCAAGAAAATATAATTAAAAAATAAAAATAATAATAAATAAAAGGACTTATTTAAAAAAGCAAAATTATGACCCTAGCTTGGTATCTCGGTTGGTTAAAGCATCATTCCAATATGCCAAGGTTGCAGGTTTGATCCCCAGTCAGAGCATGTACAAAAATCAACCAATGAATGCATATGTAAGTATTAATAAAACAACAAACTGATGTTTCTCTCTCTCTCTTTCTTACATCAATAAATAAAAATATCTTTTTTCTTTTCCAATATTGTATTTATTTTTAAAATTTTTTCGTTATTGTTCAAATACATTTGTCTCCATTTTCCCACCACTACTTTCCCCTGCCCCACTCACCCCTGCTCCCACCCTCAATCCTTCCCCACTTTGGCTTCGTCCATGGGTCCTTTATGCATGTTCCTTGACTTGACCCTTCCCCTTCTTTTCCCCATTACCTGACTCCCTCCTTCCCTCTCGTTACTGTCTGTTTTTTCTTTCAATGTTGCTTGTTATATATTTCCTGCTTGATTGTTTTGTTGATTATGTTCCACTTACAGGTGAGATCATAGGGTATTTGTCTTTCACCTCTTGGCTTATTTCACTTAACATAATGCTTTCCCGTTCCATCCATGCTGTCAGAAAGGATAGTAGCTCTTTGTTTCTGCTGCATAGTATTCCATTGTGCAAATGTACCATAGTTTTTCAATCCACTCATTTACTGATGGGCACTTAGGTTGCTTCTAGCACTTGGCTATTATAAATTGTGCTGCTGTCAACATGGGGCTGCATAGGTTCTTTTGAATTGGTGTTTTGAGATTCTTAGGGTATAATCCCAAAAGTGGAATTGCTGGGTCAAAAGGCAGTTCCATATTTAGCTTTTTGAGGAAATTCCATACTGTTTTCCGCAGTGGCTGCACCAGTCTGCATTCCCACCAACAGTGTCCTAGGGTTCCCTTTTCTCTACAACCTTGCCAGCACTTGTTGTTTGTTGATCTGTTTATGATGGCCATTCTGACTGGTGTGAAGTGGTATCTCATTGTGGTTCTACTTTGCATTTCTCTGATGGCTAGTGATACTGAGCATCCTTTCATATATCTCTGGGCCTGTGTATGTCCTCCTTGGAGAAGTGTCTGTTCATGTCCTTTGCCCATTAATAAACTTAAAAAATCTTTTAAAGGAATAATATTATCCATAAGATGGAAAACTGTATACAAACCAAATGTTTAATTATCAAGAAAAGTTTAACTAAACTATGGTAAAGTAATAAAACATAACTGCATATAGTCATTTTAAATGGTTATCTTGCTACTTGTCAAAATACATAAAAATTATATTCAAAATAATGACAATTCCAAATTGAAATATCACGTGCCCAATTACATCAGTTAACTATTATTGCATATAAACTACTTAAAAGTTATAAGTGGCTCAAAACAACCAAGCTTTTATTTGCTTACAATTCTGTGGGTTGACAGTTTGGGCTGGGTTTACTCATGTGATGCATGGTGTGTTAGCTGGCCTGGCCTGGGGTTACACAAGTGACTATAATCTTCTGGCAGCCTGACTAGGGTGGACGGTCTCAGATGCCTTTGTTCACATGTCTGGATTTTGTTACTGGCTGAAGGGTGGTCCTTCATCTCTGTACATGATCTCTCATTGGAGGGAGGTTAGGTCAAACTTCTTTACATTTTGGTGGCAGCATTATGAGAGGACAACAGAAGAGACTACAATCGTTTGGCCAAAGTCCCTCCTAAGGCCAGCTGAGATTCAAGAGGACAGGCAATAGGTTCCATATTTTGATGAAGAGAATACCTAGGTCACATTGCAAAAAGATGAGTGGTCATTAGTGAATTACACACTGATGATTCACAGCCAGTCCCACAGGAGCATTAAATCATATGTATGTATGCTAATGAAAATTGAACAAAGATCCAAAAGCTCTACCAAGTTGTTTTCTACATATTTTTTTCTGTAAAATTGTTAGTAAAATTTTAAAAAATAGAAAAGAAATTTATGTTCCAAAATGCATTCACTTGACCACATTAAAAGGGAACACAGAAGACTATTTTGTGTACAACGAGTGCTCATAAAAGGTATCAGACAAGTAACTCCAGGATCTTAGACTCTAATATCAGAGCAGATAGGGCAAGGACTGGATTGACTTTCCTGGTAGCTTCAAAGTTTTTCTGAAAGATTTCCTATAGTTTGTTATAGAAGAAAATGCTACATACTTTTGCTTATGAGCAAAGGTTTTTATTTAATCTATAACTTCTTAGTAGCATTGCCCTACACAACTAAAAACAGCTCCCACCATTATTTTAGAATTCCACTCAATGAACATGTCCTAACATTCTCATTTCTAAATATTTTTTACTTCACATTCATGTTTATTTGATACCCATTACTGTATTTATTTTACCATTTTGTTCTGATCTAGGATTTCTCCTAGATATATGGATATACAGCTCCTAAAACTTAGGGTGACTACAACTGAGTTCATATTGCCCCACAAGCTACTGCACTTCTTGCCTCCCTCCTTTAATGGCACCCTTATCATTCTACGCACATCCAGGCTCGTAACTCTGGAGTCACCTTTATTTCTTCCCTCGCAATCTCCTCTTGACATCAAGTTGGCTTCCTCAGCCAGCTGAGTTGACCACTGAAAATTCTCTTCTGGCTGCTTCCATTCTAATTTTCAAGAACCCTTGTCAATTCTTGCTTGATATAGCTGCTTCTCATCTCTTCATGATTCTTTTCTATGCCTCATACTGACATCTGTATTATCTTTTTAAAATAGATCCATCGAGATAACCTGATGAGGAAATAAGCACCATTAGTCTTCTAGGTCGTCACGCCCATGTGCTTTGTGTGCTTAAAGCTCGGACACCGAGTCTGAGCTCTTGGAGAAATAGAAGGAGAGGTAGAGAGTTGAGGCTGAGATGCATGTCTGTTACGATGTAATACTTTATGGATCAAAATGTGATCTGCGGACCACCAGCAACAGCAGTACCAGAGAGTATCCAGAAAAATGTAGAGTCTCAAGTGCTACCCCAGATATATTGAGTCACAATATGCATTTTAGCAAAATCCCTAAATGATTTGTGCACACAGTAAAGTTTGGGAAGAATTCTGGGGGGCACCTCTTGTGCAACACTTTAATCCTGTTGGCCTCACTTCTTACTCCAGCAGTAGGTAGGAGTGGTCAAGAGTGGCCAGCTCACCTATATATCTATACATTGCCTTGGCCTCTTTCGCTCCCTGTATCTTTCATTCCTGCTTCTAGGTCAACTTCCTAAATAACTACTGCACTCAAGTCCTTATTTCAGGTTCTACTTTCAGGAAAACCCAGGCTCAGATAATAAGAAAGTTAAGGGGGGCCTCAGCCAGCAGGGCAGCAGTGCTCTAGAGATGCAGAATCACAGCCGCTGGTGATGAGGGGAAAGCCCAGGGCCTTGGCAACAATCACCGAACTTTGGGGGAAACACAGGGGAGAATATTGGGGCTTGGTTTGTCAAAGAAGTGTATCTCACTGGAGGTTGCCAGCCCTCAAGGCAGGGCCAGCTTTATGGGTCTGAGATCTGTGCAGTAACACAGAGCCCCACATGCAGAAGGACCCCACACTAGGTTTAATGCTCTGCTGTCACTATCTTGAATTTCTTAATTTTTGAACAACGGCTCTGAAGTTTCATTCTGCCACGAGCCCTGCAATATGTAGCTGGTTCTGCTCAGGGTAAAAAGAAAAAGCAAAGCTGAGGCCATAGGCTGATTGACCTTGTCTTTAGGACACCAATAAATTTCCAGAACTCTCTCATATGATCCTAACAGAGTTGGGAGGGTGAGGAGAATTCCTCCCCAATACCACCATTTCCCACAAAACTGGGGATTTGCCAATTGTGGTAAATGGGGAATGAAGCAAATGTGATACCCTTTTGAAAAACAAAAGGATGTAACATTTCTTGTACTTCAGGTGTTACAGAGAAAATGCTTACCCCCTCCATAAAAATTTTATTTCAATCTTCTGTTTAAAACTCTATAGTGTTTCTTGCCCTGGCCAGGTGGTTCATTTGGTTGAAGCATTGTCCCATGCACCAGGGGGCTGTGGATTCCATCCCCAGTCAGGGCACATACATAGGTTGCAGGTTTGATCCCTGCTTGGGGCACATATGGGAGGCAACTGATTGATGTTCTCTCTCTCTTTCCTTTTCCCCTTTCCCTCTTCCCCTTCTTCTGTCTCTAAAAATCAATAAATATATCCTTGGATGAGGATTTAAAATTAAATTAAATTAAATTCTGTAGTGGTTCTCGATTTCCTAGAAACCAAAGTACAAACCCTGTGGTAAAGCATTCAAGGCTTTGCATGATCTAACACCACCCTAGCACTGCTGTCCAATTCTCTCTTGGATATTAAATTCTAGTCCCAGTAGCAAGTTTTCCCTACACCCTTGTCCCCCTCCCCCATCCACCCAGATTCCCTACCCACCTCCAAATAGTCAACCCCTGAGATTAGTTTCTTGTAAGAATACAGAAAATTTAAATATTTATACAAGCAAATAATACATACTTTATTTTCCTGTCTTACACAAAAGGTAGCATACCATGTTCACTATTATATCCATTCTTTTATTTATGCTACTGCCCTTGGCCTGGGATATTTTTCTATAGTATCTTCATCACTAAGTCAAGCAGTCTTCAACACCCATTGCAAACACCTCTTCTTGAAGCATTCTCAAATCCCTCTAGTTGCAATTAAAGATTAAGTTCCTGGAAAATTAAACAGGAACTTTGTAATTAAACTGCATTTAGCTGTTTAATATCTCAAAGTATCTTGGTTCTTATTCAGCATAACAAATACCAGAATCTATATATTAGGGAAAACCATATAAAATTGTTGTTATTTCACTGTTTTAACTGAAAACTGACATTTCATAATAGATTGAAATTTAAGTAGGATTTTCCCCTCACCTCTTTAGTTTCCTACAGGATTCTCTTTTTTCCTACCAAGAAGCATAGCATCTAGTGACCTATATTCTTTTATTCCAATACTTCCCATTAATAATATTAACTTTGTATGAATCTAAGGCTTTCTAGGATTATAACTGCCTTTTATTTCCATATTACATATGGTTCTTACTCAAGAGTAACGACCCCTCTTTTACTATCTCTACCATCCTTTTCACTAGTATGACCTGTTCACATTCTTATCACCCTTACAACCCACTGATTTTCTAAGGCATGAAGTCACTCAGACATTGCCATTGGTATTGCTTTCACCTATGTTTCTCTTGCTCTGCTTGCAAGTTCTAGATGAGGATATAGCAATAGCAGTTGATGCATCAAGCAGGTCATGCTCTCCATTAATCACCTCATAACTTATTCATGTTAAGAAAATTTGTGCTAAAATCCTCCTCTTGAAGATGGACTCTTAATGCCTAGCAGGAAGCATGCCCTCCAACAGTTTTGGGCTTACAGAGAAAAAATTCAGTGACCAAAAGGGAAGAAAAGAATATCAGTCCAGTTAGAAAATGTTTGGACAAGAATTCAGATTGTCCTGCCTGGCATTATATGCCCATCCCTGAAACAGTCACTGTGGCCAGAGGGATATAATAGTATTATTGCCAACTGCTATAACCAAGGACCAGGTTACTAACAGAAGAAGCTGGGGAGGAGGAGGCATCCTGAGTAGACAACCATATCAATCACTGCTCCATGTTGAATTGAAACAGATTCTCCTACCTGCACCTTCACTACTAGGTTTTGTTTTACCTCTTGTGTTACGAATACTTGTCACATACTTGTTATATAAATCAAGTTTAATCTCTTTCCCACAAGAAAACCTTCAACTATGTTAACAGCGCATGTTTCCTCCCTGTTTCTTCCCTTCTCTAGCCAGCGACCTCACTGCTGGTTTCCCCCTGGGTGTCTGGCCATTCCTTCTTTTTCTCCTTCTCTGGTCCTTCTTCCTTGGCCCTTACCCCACCCCAAGATGTTGGCCTTCTCTGGATTTTTCCTTAGCCCTTCTCTTCTTTCACGACACATTTCTCTCTGGGTAAATTAGACATTACCACTAGCACGCCACCCCAGCACTTTGGACTCTTCAGTACTCCATGTTTGTTTGTTTGTTTGTTTGTTTTTTAAATACAAGCAAAAGTTTATTTAGAAAATCACAAAGGTAGAAGAAATGAGCCATGGAAGAAGAGTCACCTGGGCTGCATGGGCTCAGAAAGGAAGTTACAGAGACAAAAGAAGGGCCTTTGGAGCTCAGAAAAAAGGAAGCAAAGAGACACACCTAAAGGAAAAAGGTGTGGGTAGCTCTAGAGAGAGAGGGAGTCGCCTCCTGCTTTTTCTGTGACAGAGTTTACGTGTCACAGTTACATAAAATCTTGCAACACCCCTGCCCCTTAAAAATTTTATAAATTATTTAATCACTTGTAAAAGCTAGGATTGCATTTATCACATAAAAGATAGATGGTGTCTTAGTCTGTTCAGGCTGCTATAAACAAAAATACCATTGACTGGGTGGTTTAAACAACAAACATTTGTATCTCACAGTTGTGGAGACTGAGAAGTCCAAGATTAAGGGGCAGACACATTTGGCGTCTGGGGAGACTCCTGGTTCATAAATGGCAGTCACAGCAGAAAGGGCACTAATCTCATTCATGAGAGCTCTATCCCCATGACCTAGTCACCCCCCAAAGGCCCAGCCTCCAAATACCATCACACTGGGGGTTAGGTTCAACATATGAACTTTGGGGGAACACAAACATTCACTCTCTAGCAGCAGACTGCTGTGACTGAAAAAGTAAGTGGTTTCTATGCCTGAAGTCACAAGAAGTTAGGAGGTGCTCAGTGCAGTGCTAGTGTAGACGCTCCCCAGCTCCATCCATGACCATGGTCCTACTACAACAGATCTCCTACTATTTCCCTGCACTTCATTAAAAGTACTGTCATACCTCAGTGACTGTTGGCTTTAGAGCTCATCAAACTCTGTGCTTGTCTCATTTTGACGAGAAAAAAAATGTTTCAGCATTCGGCGCTTGCTCAGGACTCGTCGCACTTGTTAGAACTCTATGAGTCACGATGCCACCTGCAAGGGAAAGTGCTTCATCACTTATCATTTGCTTGGTGCTCATCAGTTTCAGCATTTCGTCGTAAGTTCCGGAATGAATCAACAAGTACCGAGGTACCACCATATTTTGTAAACCATAAAGCGCTGTGTAAGCATGAATTGCTAACAATTAATCCTTAGATTTTTCTATCTGGACTTTCTGAGATTCTCTCTTCTGCTGGCTTCTGAGCCTGTAAGCCCCTTTCTGGCTCTTTTGCCCTCCAGCCTTGGAATGATGTCCCTGAAGCCCCTTTGTTCTTTTATAAAACATATACTGATAGAAGCAATTTTACAACATAAGCAAAAATACACAATGATTGCTTCACCTTTCCTTTAGTAGGTTTTTCCTTTCTTCTATTTTTATCCATTGTTCTGTGTTTCAAGCTCCCAACCCTGGGAGAAATCCATCTGCCTAGCCCTGATTACCTTGAGCTACCTACCCTAATCCCACTTTAGATGTAGAAAGCAATTCCATTTGCACTGTGTTTGACTCACAGATGAAAAGGGATACACGTGAGCTTATAACAATCTTTTTTTATGGAGTTTGTCTTAAAGTAACAGTATGTACACTGACAGTGGGAGTGATAAATCAGTATAACTTCTTTGAAGGACAATTAGAAAAATATATCAAAATATCTTTTAAATGTTCACATCCTCTGACAAAGCAATTCCTCTTTTAGAGAATTTCTCCTAAGGAAACTATCAGTGATAATAATCCATGCAATCATGTGATAGAATCAAAGATGACCAACAAAGCCTTCTTTGGAATCTCAAAATTATTGATTGATTAAATTGATGATTATATGTCTACGTAAAAATTACTGATGTTGCAGAAATGCATCAACTAAAATGAAAAAATTTTCAGTATAGCCAAGAAAGTAATTTATTTTAAAAAGTGCATATTGTGCTATTATTTTATTTTTGTTTCTTTTAAAAATGCATAGAAGGATTCTGGAAAGGTTTTCACTAAGGTTTTTATAGATAAGTGAGATTACAAGGCTATGATTATTATAGTCTCTTCTTGCTTGCTCATGTTTTTCTATTTTTCTCTCAAGATCACCAAGTATGGAAAAACAGTTACACTCTGTTTTGGAAAAAGTTCTCATGTTACACCCTGACCATCTCTACTCAAATAACTGCAGAACTATCAAGAATTTCAGGTTTCACAGCTTGATGCTCTGATGCAGACAATTTGCCCTAATTTCAACAGATTTACCTATTTGCTAAAGGAATGAAGACTGCAAACCTCATTGTCTGCAGAATTCAGTAGTATTTTATTAAAATTTGACATTATTTCCTTTAAAAAAAAGAGCTCTCTACATTTACTTCTTTAAGATAGATGGCAAAATATGGCAAAATGTTCTGTACATCCTAGATTTTCTCAATTATAGCCTCTGTCTTCATGGTTTTTGAAATATCATTGACCTACAATAAAATCATTATCGTTGCCCTAGCCAGTTGGCTCAGTTAATTGAAGCATATTCCTGTACACCAAAGAATGTTGAGGGTTCAATCCGTGGTCAGGGCTTATGCCTGGTTTGCGGGTTTTGTCCCCAGTTGGATGCTAACGGGAGGCTGCCGATTGATGTTTCTCTCTCACGTCAATGTTTCTCTTTCTCTCTCACCTTTCTGATCTCTCTAAAATCAATAAACATATCCTTGGGTAAGGATTCTAAAAAAATCATTATCATCAGCAATCACATTATTGAGTACATACAATATGCTAAACATTATATTATGTACATTTTGTGTATTACTCAATTTGAAATTCCCAGCCCATTTTGAGCTTTGAGGCAGCTCAAATATGTATATATTTTAAGTCAGATTTTATTATTAGCCTCTGTGGTAGATAAGTGTAAGTGACCAACTTAGCACTTCACTTCCCCATTTTCTAACAATACACTGGAAAATGGGGATAATGGGAATATAGAACTCATAGGATGTCTGTGAGTTTTAGCTAAGTGAATACATGACTATCACAAATAAAGCTGCTATACACATTCATGTACAAGTCTTTGTATAGATATATGCTTTTCTTTCTCTTGGGAAAATAGCTAAGAGTGGAATGGCTGGGTAAGTTTTAAATTTTAGCCATTCTAGTGAGTTTGTACTGGCTACTCACTGTGATTTTAGTTTATCTTTTACTAATGGCTAATTATGTTGAGCACCTTTTCATATGTTTATTTGTCAAACATATATCTTCTTTAATTAATTGTCTATTGAAATCTTTTGCCAACTTTCGCATGGTTTGTTGGTTTGCTTATAATTGAGTTTTGAGAGTTTTTATATATTCTGATTCAAGACGTCTATCAGATATATGACATGAAAATATTTTCTCTCAGTCTTTGCTATGCCTTTCATTCTCTTTACAGTGTCATTGGAAAAACAAAAAGTTCTGAATTTTTATTAAATCTAATTTATTCATTTGTTTTTTATGTATAGTACTTTTGGTACATATCTAAGAAATCTTTACTCAATTCACCAAGGTTAATGCCTATCTTTTCCTCTAAAAAGTTTGTAGTTTTATATCGAAGATCTATTTTGAGTAAATTTTGTATATGGCACAAGTATGAATTGAAGTAAAGTTTTGTGGGGGCTTTTTGCATATGGATATCCAGTTGTCTCAGCACCATGCAATGACAAGACTATTATTTTTCCACTAAATTGCCTTGCATCTTTGAAAAAAATCAGTTGTCCATATATGTATAGATGTATTGCTGGATTATCTATTTTGTTTCACTGATACATTTTTCTAATATTGTTCCAGTACTACATTGTCTTGATTACTGAAGTTTTATAATAAGTTTAGAATTGGATAGTGTTAGTTCTCCATCTTTGTTCTGCCTTTTCAGTATCTTTTTGCTTTTTCAGGTTCTTTGCATTTCTGTGAAGTTTAGAAACAGCTTGTCAATTTCTACCATAAAAGGCTGATGCAATTTTGATTAAATTGCATTAAACCTTTGGATCAATATTAAGTCATCTGACCCATGAACACAGTATAGCTCTCTATTTTATTAATTTCTTCAATTTCTCTTAGACATGTTTTGTAGTTTTCACTGCATAGGTCTTTTGTCAGGTTTATCACTAACTATTCAATATGTTTAGTGTTAGCATTGTAAATGCTAATTTTTAATTCAACTTCCAATTGTTTGTTGCTAGTATATAGAAAAACAATTGATTTTTGTCACTTGATCTTGTATTTCAGAACTTAGCTAAACTCACTTACTCTAAACCCACAAAAGAATTAAGAGATTCCATTGGATTTCCTACAGAGATTATCATGTCATTTCAAATAAATAAAGCTTTACTTCTTCCTTTCCAATATGGATGCCCTTTATTTCTTTATCTTGCCTTACTGCACTGGCTAAAACCTCAAGCATAATGCTAAGTAGAGAAGAAAAGCATTCATTTTTTTCACCATTAAGTGTGATGGTATTTGTAGACTTTTTGTAGCTGCCCTTTATCAGGTTGAGGAAGTTCCCTTCTAATCTCATTTGCTGAGAGTTTTTGTCAGGAATGAATATTAGATTTTTGCCAAATGCTATTTCTGAATCTGTTGAGATAAGCATATGTCTTTTGTTTCTGAGTTTATTAACATGGCAAATTACATAACTGATTTTAAACCAATTGTGCATTCTTGGGATAAAACCCACTTGCTCATGATGTATTATCTTTTTGTTCATTGCTGGTTTAACCTGCTAATATTTTTAGAATTTTTGAATCTATGTTATAAGGGATATTGCTCTGTAATTTTCTTCTGTAAAATCTGTTTGGTTTTGATATCAGAGAAGAGTTTGTATAATATTTATTTCTTAAATATTTGGTAGAATTTACCAGTGAAGTAATCTTTGCCTGGAGCTTTCCTTGTGGAATGGCTTTTAACTACAAATTTAATTTCATTAGTAGCTATAGGGCTACTCAAGTCATCTATTACTTCTCAAATAAACTTTGGTATTTTGGGTCATTCAAGGAATGTGACCATCTCTTCTAAGTTGTTGAATTACTGGCATAAAGATGTTTATATTATTCCTTCATTATGCTTTTGTTATCTGTAGAAGATGTAGTGATGTCACGTTTTACTCTTTATGTTGTCATATATATTAACTATACATGTGGCATAAACTCCATAATGCATTTTTTATTATTTCATAATTATTTTCATTACTTTTATTTTTAATTGATTTTTTTTTAGAGAGAGACAGGAAGGGAAAAAGAAAGGGAGAGCAAGAGAGAAAAAGAAACGATTTGTCATTCCACTTATTTATGCGTTCATTGGTTGATTCTTGTATGTGCTCTGACCGGGATCAAACCTATAACCTTGTCCTTTTGGGATGATGCTCTAACCAGCTGAGGTACTCAGTTAGGGCATTATTTTCATTTAAAACATTAAATTAAATTATCTTTAATTTAATATAAAAACATATAATTAAATTATCTTTAAAAGAGATTTAAATAATAAGAAAAATATCATATATTTACCAGTTATCATTTCCAATGCTCTTTATTCCTTTGTGTAGACCTATAATATATTTCCATATGGCATCATTTTCCTTCTGTTTGTAGGATTTTTTTCAACATATCTTAGAATGCAGGTTGGCTCAAGGTGATTCTTTCATCTCTTATATGTCTGAAAAAGTCTTTGTGTTTTTTCCTTTTCCTTTTTTTTTTTTCTAAAAAATTGAAATATATTTCACAAACCATAATATTCACTGTTTAAAAGTATATAAATCAGGGGCTGGCAGTGTGGCTCAGTTGATTAAACCATCATCCTATACACCAAAAGGTAGTGGGTTCAATTCCTGGTCTGGGCACATACCTAGGTTGCAGGTTCAACCCCTGTTCAGCATGCATACAGAAGGCAACATATCACATTGATGTTTCTCTCTCTCTCTTAAATCAATAAAAACATATACTTAGGTGAGGACTTTTTAAAAAGTATATGATTCATTGGTTTTTACTATATTCACAAAGTTGTGCAATTATTGTCACTATCTAATTCTAGACCATTTTATCACCTCCCAAATATCCATTCCCATTAGTAGTCACTCCCCATTCTCCCCTCCCCCTCAGACCCTGGTAAACACTAATCTACTTTCTGTCTCTATGTCTTTCATTTTTGAAAGATATTTTTATTTCCTAAAGAATTCTATGATGAAGGTGTTTTATTTACAGTTCTTTAAAATATTTTTTCACTGCCGTCTCATATTATTTTTAATTTTTAACTTTTCATTTACAGTTGACATTCAGTGTTATTTTACATTAGTGTCAGGTGTACCACATAGTAGTTAGACATTTATATTGATATAATTCACAAAATGATCACCCTGTTAAGTCTAGTACCTATCTGGCACCATACATAGTTATTACAATATTATTGACTATACTCCCTATGCTGTACTTTGTATCCCCATGACTATTTTGTAACTACCAATTTGTACTTCTTAATCCCTTCACTCAGCCCCCAATCTCCTCCCCACCAATCTGGCAACCATCAGTCCATTCTCTATATATGAGTTTGTTTCTGTTTTGTTTGATTATTTACTTTGTTCCTTAGATTCCACATATAAGTGAAATCATATGACATTTGTTATTCTCAGTCTGATTTCATTTAGCATAATACCCTTTAGATCCATCCATGTTGTCACAAATGGTAGGAGTTAACTTTATGGCCACGAAATAATACCAACTCTACACAAACTCTTCCAAAAATATCAAACAGAAAAGAATAGCTCCCAGCTTATTTTAGGAGGCCAGGATTATCTTTAAAGTGAAACAAGACAAAGACACTATAAGAAAAGAACACTATATGAAAATCCCTCATGAACAAAAATTCTATATAAAATATTAGCAAATTAAATTCAACACCTTATTAAATGGATAACATATCATATGACCAAATGAGGTTTATCCTTGGAATGCAAGGTTGGTTTAACACTTGAAAATCAATCAATATACATCAACATATAAGCTAAAATTAATAACTGTATGCTCATCTATACAGATATCAAAAAAGCATTTAACAAAATTCAACATCTATTATTGTTTAAAAGATTTTATTTATTTACTTTTAGAGAGAGGAGAAGGGAGGGAGAAAGAGAGGGAGAGAAACATCCATGTGTGGTTGCCTCTCACGTGCCCCCTACTAGGGGCCTGGCCTGCAACCCAGGCATGTGCTCCGACTGGGAATTCAACCGGCAACCTTTTGGTTCACAAGCCGTTGCTCAATCCACTGAGCCACACCAGCCAGGCTCAACATCTATTCTTGATAAATACTCTCAGGAAACTAAAGTTAGAAGGAATTGTCCTCAGTCTCATAAAGGCCATCTGAAGAACTCTATTGTTCCTGTCATAATGGTAAGACTTAATACTTCCCACATAAGATGAGGAGTCAGATTTCTTCTCTTATCACTTTAATTCAACACTGTACCAGTGTTTTAGCCAGTGCAATCAGGCAAAATAAGAAATAAAACCACCCAGAATGAAAAGTAAGAATTTGAACTGTTTTTATTTGTAGATTACATAATCACCTATATAAAAAATATGATGGAATTTTTTAAAAAGTTAGACCTAATAATTAATTCCAGTAAGGTTGCAGGATACAAGATCAATATACAAAAATCAATTGTATTTCTCGGTACTAGTAATAAGTAATTAAAAATTTGAATAGAAAAACATTAGCATATATTATAACATGAAAATATGAAATACTTAAGAGATGAACTCAACAAAAGAAGTGAAATATGTGTACACAAAGATTGTAAAATATTGCTGAAAGAAATGAAAGAAGAGCTAAATAAATGGAAAGATATACCTTGTTCATGGATCAGAAGTTTGAATATCATAAAGATGCCAACTGTCCTCAAATTAATTTATAGATCTATGCAATGCCAATCAAACTCCCAGCAGGACTTTTTATAGAAACTGATAAGTTGATTCTAAAATTCTTATGGAACTGCAAAAAATCTAGAATATTCAAACTACTCTGAAAAAGACAAACAAATCTGGAGGCATAACACTTTTGATTTCAAGATTTATGATAAAGCTACATTAATTAAGGCATTATTAACATAAAGTTAGACAAATAGATCAATGGAATAAAATAGAAAGTTCAGAAATAAACTAATCACACAGTATGTCTGGGCAACTGATTTTTTAACAAAAACACAATTGTAATGCAGTGGAGAAAGGATAGTCTTTTCAACAAATTGTGCTGGAACAGTTGTATATACATATGCAAAAAAAAGAACTTTGATCCACATCTCATATCATATGCAAAATGTAACTCAAAATGGGTCATAGACTTAAATGTAAAAACATAAATCTATAAAACTCTAGGAAGAAAATAGGAATAAATCCTTCTGACCATGGGTTAGGCAAAGACTTCTTAGATATAAGATTAGAAGTACAATTCATAGCCCTGACTGGTGTGGCTCAGTTTGTTGGGTGTTGTCCTGCAAAGCAAAGGGTCACCAGTCAATTCCTGGTCAGGGCACATGTCTGGGGTGCAGGTTCTGTCCCTGATTGGGGCATATATGAGAGGTAACTGATCAATGTTTCTTTCTCATATCGATGTTTCTCTTCCTTTCTCGGTCCATTCCGCTGTCTCTAAAAATAAATAAAATCTCTCTTTAAAAAAAGTACAATCCATAAAAGAACCAGTTGATTAATAGGCTTGGTTAAAACTTAAAACTTCTACTCTTTAAATGACACTCTTAGTATAATGAAAAGACAAAACACAGACTGGAAAAAAATATTGGCAAATCTGTTAAAAGACTTGTATCCAGAATATATATTTTCAAAACTAAACAATGAGATAACAAACAAACCAATAAAGAATTGAGTAAAAGATTTGAACAGACTCTTTAAGATACACAGATGGCAAATATACATAAAAAAGATGCTCAACATCATTAGTTATTAGGAAAATGCAAATTATTTTTTAAACGTTTTTTAGATTTTATTTATTTATTTTTAGAGAGAGGGGAAGGGAGGGAGAAAGAGAGGGAGAGAAACATCAATGTGTGGTTGCTCCTCGTGCGCCCCTTACTGAGAACCTGGCATGCAACCCATGCCTCTGCCCTGACTGGGAATCAAACCAGCGACTCTTTGGTTCTCAGGCCAGCACTCAATACACTGAGTCACACCAGCCAGGGCAGCAAAATGCAAGTTAAAACCACAATGAGAAAACACTACGTAACTATTAGAACAGCTGAAATTAAGGAAGACTTACCATTGCAAGTATTGAGGAGAATAGGAAGAACTGAAACTCTTGCAAACTTCTGGTGACAATGTCAATATTACAACCATTTTGGAAAACAATCTGACAGTTTCTTAGGTTGAACATACAAGGAACATATGATCCACTCAGTATACTCTCAGGTATTTGCTCAAAAGAAAAATAATTATTGACTACATAAAGACTTGTACACAAATGTTTCAGAGCTTTATTTATAATAGTCCCAAACTGGAAACAGCTCAACTGTCCATCAACAGGTGAACAGATAAACAAAGCAGCATATTCATAAAATAGAAATCACTCAGCAATGAAAGAGAATGAACTCTTTCATTGCTACACGTAACAACATGGGTGAATCTTAAAATTATCATGCTGAGTAAAAGAAGCCAGCCAAAAAATAAAACATACTGATGAATAAACTGTAGAGAATTCAAAACTAATCTATGATGACAGAAAAGAGATTGGTGGCTGTTTGGAGATAGGGGACAGGAAGGTGTGGGAGGGAAAGATTACAAAAGTACAAGAGAAAACTCTTGGAGGTGAGACGTATGTTCACTATCTTGATTTTAGCGATGACTTCATGGGTATATATAATATTGTACATTTCAAACACATGCAGTTTATTATAAACTACATAAACTTTAGTAAATTTATATGCATATAAACTTTGTATATAAAATTAAACCTCTTTATTGAGGTGTAAATGACATATAATAAACTATATATATGAAATTTTTAAAACTTTATCTCAGAAGTGAAAATGTTACTTCCTCTCATGTTTCATTGGCCAGTGAAAGTCAAATGTTCACCCCTCACTATAAGGGGCTGGGAAAGTGCATTCTTACCACATGCCCTGGATAGAGTTGAATATTTGTGTTTGTGTATAGTTCTAATGAGTCCGAATATGACTCAGCAGTAAGCATGCTGCTTTTTATAAGTAGAACACTTACCCTAGTTATTATGCAATAGAATTCACATTTATTTGTAGAACCAACAAACAATAGTAGACTTAGCTACCCTCACTCAAAAGTCCTACAAAGTTTCAGTTGTTTTGCTTATAACAGTCAGGAACACAAATTAAATCATATTGTCCAAGTAACCCAGACCTTTCCCTACTAATTCTGAAATTAGTGTTTCTTAGAATCTAAGAAAATAAATAGAACTAGGAGAAAACATGAATAACCATTTGGCCTAGTTCCTGTCTCCTAGATGATTAAATTTAATGCCCTAGAAGACAGATGGAGGGTCAGAAATTTTATAATGATAAATTCAGCCTTCTAAATTTATTCTCTTTATGGCCAAGAAATTGTTTCTCATGTTTGACTAAAAAACTTTTTTTTAAAATTTGAACTAATCTATTTTTGTTCTGTTCTTATCAGTCACTTTGATGAATTGGTCAGAAATATTGAA